AAAAAAAACATCACGGAACTCCATGGTTCCTCTCCATGTCATGTCTTGACTACAGCTTCAGAAGATGGATCCTTTCAACATTCTGTTGGTGAGCTATGAACATATGACCAATCAAACTAAGCAAAATGAGAAATCTCTCCAAAAACATAATATCCAGGAGTGTTATCCCTAACTTCGTGTCAAAAACCGCTCAAATATTAAACAATCACTAACTTCATTCTGATTGGTCAACTTCAACAATTTTAAAGCCATCAATATAGTATAATCCAATCATTTTATTAAATAATTTTAAGCATCCATCAGTTAAACCCTTTCAACAATAATAAATCCACATAAATATCTGAACAAGTACATTTTTATCAACATCAATTAACAGACTGATTAACGAAAGTAAAACAATAAGTCTTCTGAATCAATTTTAAATTAATACGTTCATATAAATGAATTATAATGTAATTAAAAACTTCAATTTTAAGAAATTTTTTTCCTCTTTGTAGAAATAAGCAAATATCAAAATGGTGTTCAAATCAACCTTTACATACTTTTCGTATTTTCTAGTGTTTGCCGATCAATGTAAGTTATTGATTTAGTCTTCTATGATGATGTACAATGGACGTTTTTAATAACAGATCTTGAGACTAGTGAATTCCTAATGGACTAGAAAAGATGATTCATTCAGTGTTTAGTATATATTTGAGGAAAGTTCTAATCATTGGTTTACATCAGCTGAATAGCTATTAACGAACACTAGCTAGGTGTTTCGTCCTAGTTTGAAGACTCTGTATTCATGATCGCAATAAACCCAACCGGGGGTAAATTTTATAACTTTCAAGTTTTGTATGAAGGTGTCATTGGGTTACTTATTTTGAAACTAAAGATCCAAGTTTATTTGTGATATCTCTCTACTTTTCATTATCATCGATAGGTTACTAGCTGCCTTTATCTCATCTTCGTCAACTCCATAGGACATGGCTTTTCACTACAGCTTGAGGAAATACATGTCAAAGTTAGTTAACGATTGTTAGGTCTGAATAAATTATTTAGTGACTGAATGATATAGCGTTCGAGAACGAAAAACTGAACAAATTTTACTAATCACTTAACTAAATGTAATGATTTGCTTTGAAATTCAAGAGTGAATTTCAATTATAGTATTAATGGAATCGCGACTACTCGATATATTATTAAGCTATTTAAAAGCATTAGACTAAAAACTGGGTATTGTAACCGGGACTTACCTAATATTTGTTGATCATCTTTAAATTTACCGCTAATGAAATCTTTTCTTTTTAAAAGTTGTGAAAATTGCTTATCATACTCTCAAGTCTTCGAATAAAGTAGGATAGGTTTTTCAAATATGTTCTATGAACAGCCCGTTGTGAACATCAGAAACTAGTATTTCCGTTATTATTAAAACAAATTTATACATTTTATCGATCGATGTAACTATTTTTATCAGTAATAGTATTAGTATAAGTGTAAGTATATGTATATATTCATTTTGATGCTTATGATAAGATGATGGTTTAACAATTTCTGTAGCGTAAATGATTAGTACACAACTTAATTTGGTCTAATCAGTTGAAGTTTGGAGTTTTTATACATGTTTCGTTTTAGAGCAGATTGAATTTGATTACATATAAAAATAAATTGGTACATACTCGTAGGTAGGTATGACAATAATCTAGGGTTACATCTCTCGAGTGACCGTTATTTGACTTCGATTATCTACGATAATGATGTATATATCCTAAATGACTTAGTATATCTCCTGTCGAATCAACACGTTTAAAATAACGAGATATCAAAAGCAGATTACGAATTGTATCTAAAAAAACGTAATTTCAGACAGCTATATTGAAAATGAAATTAGAAATAAAACATTCAGCCAATGTACAAAGCATTGAAGATCGGTGATATTGGCGACTTAGAAACAATAAGATTATTCAGTGTTTATAAATCACGTAAGAAATACATGAAGCAGATAAACGCATACATACTATCATAAACACATGTATAAAACATTATCAAAGTTACATGTTAATAATTGACAAGCGCAAACATATGGGTGACATAACAATTAGTATGGGTTTGTGGAGATTGAGTTTTACTTGAGATTATGCACCGATCAATGTTAGAGCAGAAAAGTGATCGCACATTATCATGGATTGGTTTAAGTTAGACTCTATCACTGTTGGATGCCGGATCAGTGGTCTAGAGACTAACTGTTCACCCGCGAGACCGAAGGTCCTGGGTTCGAACCCCACGTGTAGGATCGTGGATGCGCACTGCCGAGGGGTCCCACATCGGGACGAGATGGCCGACCAGTGCTTCCAGGTTTGCACTGGTGGTTTAACATTGATCGGTTCATGATCTCAATTAAAACTCAACAACTTTCACAAACCTATGCTGAAAATATGTGGTCATATCTATTATTATAGCTTCACAATACTACTAAACATATATCTGACTATTGGCGAAGTCATTTGTTAGTCAATTCCTGAGGAGAAAGTAAGTCCTTACAAACAATCTTCAGTCATGTCTTGTGTACGTTAAATTAAACAGTATTCATAGAATCTGGTCTCAATAGACTGTTTATGTAATTTACTTACATCAATGACGTGTATACAGCGTCTCAACGGTATACACACTTAGTTGATAACCGAACTGTGGTTTAGGTTACTTCTCAGTTAATGTTGTACTGTCATCTGACTTACAGGTAGGATGTGGCAATTGTGATGCAACTTACTACCTTGTTGATACTAGGGATAGTTCTACCAGTGAGCGAATCACTTTTGCGAACATGTTTATATAGATAATATCCAGCCATATTTCAGAAACCGCCAAATATTTACTCAGATAATCTAACGATAGTATGATAAGATTATTATATCCTTATGATGAGAAAAAGTATCAGGTACCCCGGTAATATATAAATTGAGAGAGAAAAGATTTTGATTGTCACGATTATCAAAAACACCAAAGTTGCTGGTTACGCGTGAAATACTTTTTAAATGACCAGATTTCTTGTCAGAATGCACATCTGGAAATAGTCAGGTTTGTGTGTAGTGACGAAGATAAATTCTTAATACATCAAGATCCGGAAACATGCTAATATGAATTACTTCCCAACTATTCTGGCCGTAAAATATTACGTGAACGGCATTCCCAAGCAAGCACGGAGACATAAACTGAATGGAGATTATAATATGCAAGTAAATATTATTATTAATGGCCTTAGTCAATATTATATTTTGTTACAATATAGAACTCTTAGCACGAGGTATTTCATCAAGTTTCTTTACAAAAAACAGAAAATAGACGGACTATGTATGAGACCATTAACAACATACCACCACTCAATACGAGACGAAAACTCATTCATTTCTTTGGAATGACAAGAGGCAGAAATCGGCATACATACAGTGAGATCATCCGCATAATTCAGTGTTTTGTGGAAGATCACGCAGAAGAGGTGAAAGAACAGCCCCTTGTGGCACACCTTCATGAGACAGTAGAGACACTGAGCACTTTACTCCAAGCGCAGCGTACTGATCTTCCAGAGGTAGGTACATAGCCAGTTGGTTATCCAGCCGTCAGTACTAGCGCCTTGATAGAATCAAAAGCAGGAGTGAAATTTAGAAAAGCGCATCGAACATCCTTCTTAGACATTTCCAAGATGAACACTATTGTGATGCAGAACGACATAAAAGGTGCTTCTTTAGCATTTGTAAGCAAACTAATACGGATCAATGTGCTCTTTTAATGCAGGTTGAAGTGGAAGTAACAACAATTTTTCCATTTGAGGAAAGGTAAAGTTACTGCTATGGTTATAAATTCCACATTCTTATTGCCGCATTCTCTACATTTTCGGTTTTTCTCCTTGTATATTCTTTCTTTTACCCTCTGTAGTCCTTCTAGGTGTGGAGATGTAAGTCAATATAAACTCTAATAAAATTGCTTCAGTGCGACAAGTGATAACATCAGTAATGTTTTCCAGTAAGCCATCTGTAAATAATTCCTAGTTAGTCGTACGAAGATGATTTTCAGATTTTGAATATTTTCTTCTATTTCTTGATCCGATTTAAGAGTGCACTCTTCCCATATACTTTAGGTAAAACAGGACTTATAGTAATCCGAGCACGTTTACGAGTCACATATGTACCCACATCAGGAATTGAAGATAGTTCATCTTGTTAATTAGTGATCGGTAGTTAGAATCTAGAAGCTCAGGAATCGACATATGATTAACGTTCATGCAACAATTTGTTGGAAAAGACTTGAGTTCATGAGATTTATAGGCTCGTAGCGTTACTAAGTGTAAGAATGAAAGGTCGTCTGAACTTATAACATGAAATCAAATTAGTAATACACACCCTAAAATGGAAGTTATCTACCACCTTCCACTTTAATTCTGACTTTCCAGGATCGTTATAACGTTAGAGTCGATATATTCAATTTTTCTTCTTTTAAACCTAAATAACCATTTTGAAGCGAAACACAGGTAATATCGACTTCAAATTTTCCTGTTCTTTATTGTAATTATTTACTTATAAAAAAAGCTTAGATTTATCTTTTAGTGCAACGTTAAAATTTGATCTACAGTTTATAGAATTGGAACCCAAAATACCACTTGGATTGACCCTACTACAAAATACTTATTCAAAAGATATTTTACTTGTAACTACTTAAGATATGAATATATAATAGCCCCATTTCGAATGTTCGAAGAGTAAAAGGAAATATTACGCATTGTAGACATAACTAGGTAGAATGAGAAGTAATAACATGAAATAAATGTATGGAAATATGCCAGGTACAAATTCTGTCTGAATTACAAAGGGAACAGTTTGGGGATAGAAAAAATTAATCAGTCAGACGTCACATGACTGATAATTAGAATTCAAACCAGAAGCATAAGTAGGTGAAAATTGATGACACAGGATAGCTTGAGCCTAAAGTTTTCAATAAACTGAAAAGTAAAATGTTGTGACAGTCGCTTAGTTGTATAAATCTTCTGCGTCATTTTGAGATCCATAGGCTGATCCTCCTCCTCCTCCCTGAGTACCGTGACCTGTAGGTATTCCAGGTCCATCTGATCCAGGGAATCTGTATTAAGAAAAAATTATAAAATGAATTAAAAAATAAAATTTTACGAATATAGTTCGTAGTGTACAAACAACAACTGCTATTCGGCAACATTAATTTGATGTTCATGGAAATTAGAACGAACATGTGATTCGGTCAAATGCAACGTAGAAATCGGTACAAGTAGACATATGCCATTAGCACGAGATAAAACCATAAAGGCGAATCCAAGAATAATAAAGGTAACTCACAAACGCCTTGGTACGGCCGAGGGTAGGGAGTCCGCCCTCAATCTATAAATGTTTTCATATGCCCACGCATAGACGGACACTGTCAGAAGTCCTACTCGAAGTGGTGGTATAGTTTAAAAATCAAGACGAAAAGCGGATGACCGGTGCTTAACCAAAGGTGGTGGGTACGGAAGATTTACCTACGAAAGCTGGAAAGCCCTGATCCCAAACCAATGATACACACGGGCTCCAGGATCCTAAGAAAACAAATGAAGCACGAACCTGGTGTTGGTCACCGGCTACCATGGAACTGAACGTTGGTCTACGGACTCATAGATTAGACCTCTAAGTTCAAGGCTCCAGTGGGTCTCTAAGAAAACCACCTGCCTCGGCTTGGGCTCCCAAGAAGTAAACCAGACCACACAAAAAACAAATGATTACTAAAACTAGAAAAACCACTCACGCTTTAATTCTCATTCTCACAAATGATGCTCAAAACAATTTTGTAGTATCCGTTTTTGATTTATATTGCGTCACTTAACTATTCCTTTATTTCTATTTTGTATGCTCCTTTATTTTTCAACTACAATAGCTCGCCTATGGCAAAAACCTTGTCAAATCTAAACGATCTCAAGTCACGGACTAATCGGAAGTTGAACGCTACCGACAGATATGAATACTCAGCCATTTTTCTGAAAGCACGTATGCAATTCAAACTGGTCTCCAACATTCGCACACTAATGCAGACTGAAAAACAAATGGGGTTGGCGACGTCATTAGAAAGTCTTAATGTCGACGTTTATTGTCTATACGATATTCATAATTTTGACTCTAATGAAGTATTACAAATTGGCTCTCTATCTGTCTCTTCGAAAAGTTTTTTGCGTGCAATTATCCGAGAACACTGAGACATCTTTGTTTGGTTTTGCAGGCGTCGGCATTGCATTGAGTGCTAGGGCTGAAGCAGCACTGATCAACTGGTGTTAGACTAAAAAGCTCCATCAAAGTGTAAAGAAATCTGTGAGAAGCGATGTCTTTTCATCAACGCTTACGCTTCGACAGATTGCAACGTGGATGCGATTAAGGATGAGTTTTAGCACTAGTTAACTGTTCTTCTACAGGAAGTGCATTTGAAATACATTGTAGTGCATGCTGGAGACTTGAATGCACAGGTCGGGTAACGACGACTGTCTACTAGAACTTTGCACAAACCACAGCCTATTACTGGTTATTACTAACCATAGTAAAGTCATCGCCGATGTGTTACCTGATATCTTCTCTCTGGATCTCAAACCTGAACTCAGATATATCACATCGCAATCAGCTACCGCAGGCATGGTTGTGTACAAGACTGGTGCTCCTTTTGGAGTACCTGTTTGGACCCTGATCATATCCTTGTTTGTGTTAATCTTATATGTAGTGGCCAACAAATTCATTGTCCTAAACGGATCGATGTCAGCAAAACGGTTGCAGCTTCTGTTTCAATCAAATATCAAACCAAACAAGGTTCAAAACTTGGTATCAACCCACCGAAGAACAGTTAACTGGTGGTAGAATTCATCCTTGATTGCATCCGCGCTGCAATCTGTCGTTGCATAGGCGGAGATGACTAAAAGACATAGTTTCTCACGCCGATTTCTTCTCACCTTGATAGAACTTTCTAATCTAACAGCCAACATATAACATTCCATGATACAATTGTGAATGAGCAATCAGTGGTCAAGACACTGGACCTCTGGATGGACTGAGATTAAAGACAATACAACAAACTAGCAAAACAAGGTCTTTCTATAGCAAAAGAACATGTTTATATACAAAAATAACACCACAAAATAAATGGTCGGACGGTTCGGATTTCGTAGGCCACTTGCATTCCAATGAATTCAGGATTTGATTAACAGGTTTAATTTTTACTTTGTTCTGACAATTATATTTTCTTCATTGCTCCAGATTATCAGTTCCTTTAGAGGAAAATTTTTAATTTACTCCTACCGTCATGTTTACTGTTTTCACTTTTGCACTGTTCATCGTTTTGATACTTTACTTCTACATAAGGATTGATTGTGAGAGCTAAGACAGACATACATGAGCACTACGTTACAATTGGTTCGTATCTCTCTCGGTCAGTCAGCTACAACGTAGGACCAGATACATAGATGCATCGGCCCAAGTTGCCACACCTCATTAGCACAACAAAATAAGCATCAAATTCATAGAAGTAGTCACTTCAATGGTAGTAATATATAAAAAAAAGATTGTGTATAATGACATAGTACAGAAAGAAAGAATCAGTTCATAGAAAGAAGGATATAAAGCGATTTTAATCTTACGGTTTAAGGAAAGACGATGAGTGTATGCATCGACGCCATTGTGATAGATTCTGAGCCATGTCACCCAGAGTCTCCAACCATTGGTTTTAACAGTCATGTGGACACCAACCAAGTAGTATGCATCTACCAACATGGCTAAGACGAGAAGTTAGTGACTTCAATGACTGATGCCACTTTTTCGTTTGGCTGCCCATAACTTTCTTCCATCTTCCTTCAACACTAGTCAGCATTGCGCTTCGTGGTAATCGATGTTAAGCCATATACAACTCGCCTGGATTATTTTCGAGACTTAGATTATTCAATAGATGTGACATATAACGTCGTTTGGCTGCCCATAACTCTTCAATCTTCGTTCAACACTAGCCAGCTCTGCGCGTCGTGGTAGTCGGTGGTTGGACATGTACAATACGTCATCCAACCATCTCAGTCGATGTAGACTCACAACCTCACCAACTAAATTACCATCATTCCCTAGTACTTTCCGTCTAACCTCACTATTACTTATCCAGTGATCCCAGCAGATGCTGGCAATATTTCTAAGACATCTGTGATCAAATACTAGTAACTTGTGAGTATCTTCTACTCTTGATCGCAGCCGTGAAGTTCAGGTGTTGACGCAGGTCAGTTCTGAAGCAACAATTTGCATTTAAAAAGAGGGGAAGGGCATCCCTAGCATACTGGCATTGTTGCTCAGTGCTATCAAAAGACTGCATTTTAGAGTCTTCACCAAACAGGATTATATCATCTTCATATTCTAAGTCGATAAGTGGACTTCCTGGTAGGAGATCAATGCCCGAGAATTCAGTCGACGAGAGCATTGTTTCCATCAGTAAGTTTATAATAAAGTTAAACAAAAGTGGGGAAAGTGGACAGCCTTGTCGGACGTCACTTGAGGTTGCAAAATCAGATGACAGTTCGTCATAAGCTCTGACTCGACTAGTAGTGTTCGAGTAAAGAGCCTTCACAAGGTTTATGTACTTCTGAGATACGCCTTTCGATGACAGACACTGCCATAGAACCTCTCGGTCTACAGAGTCAAATTCTGCTTTTAGGTCAAGAAAGACCACTATTGCTGGACGCCCATAAGCACGCCTGTGTTCTAGAACCTGACGAGTGGTGAATATGTGGTCGATGCAGCCTGCCTGGTTCTCTCGTGTTTGCAGTTCACAAGTCTTTGTTAGGCACCCGATAAATATTGAAGCTAGTATTATAGATGCTATGTTAATCAAAATAGTGCCTCTATGGCTACCACAGGATTATTTTGACACCTTATATATCGGAACAATCAGTGATTGCGACCAATCAGATGGGATCACGTCTAACTCACAGATTTTATGAAATATTAGTTAACCTAATCGCCAAAACTAGACCAACATCCTTAAAGACATCTGGAGCCAATCCATCTGGACCAGCTGCTCCTCCTCGTTTCAGGTTAGCTATACCTTTTTGAACTTCAGTTAGAGTCGAGGGACCTACTTCCATGTTCCATTCACGCCGTCTGGTAATGGTAGGTAGTTGTAGAGTAGCTGAAGGCCAGCTGAACTGCTCCTTAAAGTATTCCGCCCATCGTTCTAAACGTCTAGACTGAGAGAACATAAGAGTGCCACTTTTTCCGTGATTGTCTCACTTACACTTAACCCCTTAATTCCGGTTTATTTTATTAATCTGATAAGCTGTCTGGTGTTACCTACAGCCGTTGTCTTTTACATCCTTTTTGCTTTCGTTACCCACCACTGCTCACGACCGTTCCGTAGACTTTTGGTTAACCTAGATCTAATTTGCTTTCGCTCTTCATCGTGTTCAGAGCCTGATAGGATGAGTTTACGAGAATCCATCAGTGCAATAGTCTTAGAAGAAATCCAATGGTTTTTGGTAACCCTTTGGTTTAAGTCACTAACAGATGTCACTGCTGTTTCCACAACTGTTTGTATATCTTTTCAGGCAGCATCTTGGTCAGCCTCGTTTTTAGAACTAACTGAGTGTGACTTCAGATGTTCCTGGAACCTACTTTTGGCTTTCTCATTACTCAATTCCATTTTAAGGGTTTTTTAGTGTGGCTTTTTGCGTCTAGTGAGGCGCAAGCAGATGCGTGCCCGTATTAGAGCATGGTCGGATTCCAAGAAGGTATTCCAGAACGAGCGACAATCTTCTATCGACCCTCTTCAACGATGAATGACGGCATTATAGTCCATTTGATTTCTTCAATGGTTTGGTGCAGGCGGTCGCCATGTTAGACGATGTCTCTCCTTATGCTTAAAATTTGTTTGCTGACAATAAACGATTGGCTGAGCACAGTTGCAGCAGACGATCACCATTATCTGTTCGCTGATCCGGATTCCCAAAACACCCACCTAAATATCTTACTGTTTTGTTTAATCTACCTATCTGGGTATTAAAGTCACCTGCTACGAGTACTATGTCTGAACGTGTAGCTTCTTGAAGAAGTTCAAAAAGCTTTCTTTAAAATTTATCTTCCACTTCATCTGAGCTGCAATCAGTGGGAGAGTATGCAAAAATGACGAAAACGCAACGTGTGTCTTTATCCCTCCTAGTTCTTACGGAGCCGTTTACCCCAACGGCACATAGACGACTGTTAACAGGGATCCACTCTAATAGTGCTTGTTCTGCCTTCGTACTTAGTGCCATGCCTACACCTGCCAGTCCACGAGGACTAGCCATCGGGCCGCCAGATACATGGAGTGTGTATCTCGTCAGCTCCCCGTTTTGGCTATGTGAGGTCAAGTGAATGACCACACCAGGATCCTGTATGTGTTTCGGAGACAAAGCACACATCAACGGTACGAGATCCTAGAGTTTTAGTCAAGGAAGCCTGTTGGCCGATTTGACATAGGTTGCGTACATTGAAACCTACAATATGTAGTTTGAAGCGAGGTTTCCGTAGACTTGGGACAGTGTTTTGCGCACTAGAATTGTTGGCCATAGTGACGCTTGAGGAGAAAGTAGAAGCAGAAAGTTGAAAGTCGATGTAGGAAGAATAATAGGAATCGAAGGGGGAGACTCATTATGAATACAGTGATCTTGAGTGCTGTTAGAAGTATAAGGGTGGTTATCACCCACACCGTGGAAGGGTTCTTCTGGAGTTACCTGAAAAAGACATTGGATTAAAGATGGTCTTAGTGACCTAAAAGCGTGACCACAGTGCCAAAGGGACAACTGCTCGAGGTCTGTCACAAACGACCTTTTTGTGGGTAATTTTCGTGGTAGCTTCGAACTTGTTCAGACCTTACCGCCGGAGATGGATATCCGTGAGATAAGGCGAGGTGTGACATTCCTAGGGTCGATCTCTTCTGACCCCACCCTTCCTTTGTGGGAAGGCAACATTGCTGTTATGCTGGTTGTCTGGAAGAAACATCTTACTGCGGTCAAACGTCTGTAGTCAGCGGCACGACTTCACCCTCAGACCTTGGGTTTGCTGCTTTTAGTCTTACCGCTCTTCAACCGATTTGTCTGGCATGGTAAGAACTTGAGGAACGACTGTTCCAGCCAGTATAGCTCGATCTTTTCATCACGATAGGCAAGTCCGACCACCACGTCAAGGTAGCAACAACAGTCGGGAAAAGACTTCTCTGGCAATGGTTGTATGTATGTGGCTACGTGAGAGCATTCCGAGAGGGAGAGCTGACTTACCCCACTCTCGGTCGTGTCATGGCATTTGGAGGCCCTGTGTAGATAATGTCTCAGCGACGAAGCCCATGTCACCCAATCCGCGCTCAATCATTTAGGAATCAGTGTCCAGATGTATGTTATGTACTTTGCATCTTCGAAGTGCAAAATACTTTTACAATACTGGGAGGACCCTGATTCTGCACTCACATAATAAGTAGTGAGCGGATAGAAGTAGTCGAGAAGTTCGTCTATCCGGATAGCTGAGTTAGTGTTGGTGGTGGAGATAGTGATGAGACCAATCCACGTTTAGTGAAAACCAGGACGAATTCTAACAATTTGACCCGTCTTTTGAACTATTGTGATGTTAGCCTTAGAAGGTCGGATCTACATGTCGGTGAGAGCGGTTTCTCTTTATGCTTGTGAAACCTGGCCTCTCTGAGTTGAGGACGTTAGACGATCATCGTTGTCTCTGAAGGATTGATGAAATCCAGTGGCAACACCATGGTAGTAATGCTGATGTTCGGCATTGTGTGTTTGGGCACAGCGATAATCCAATTAGTGTCACTATCTTGGAACACTTTGGTGGCTTGGACATTTTCTACGAATGTTGAACCAGCGAATTCCACATTGTGCATTATTTGCAGATGCTGTGACTGGTTGGAGGGAGTGGTGGGTCAGTTTATGACATGGTGTCGTGGTATAAAAGAAAGCTGTATATGATTGGCTTCTGTTGGCCCTTCAATACTTCCTGGTTATGATCCTAGAGGTGGTAACAGAGTGGCTAGAGACGTTATTAGGAATAGCTCAGAATAGAAGCCAGTGATGATTCTGTTACAAATTACATTTACTTTCTTTATAAAAGTAAGAGTAACTTCTGTGACTGAAAGAATCCTTTCTGGTTGTATTTCTTCTAACTGAACTGATTCTCCCATTATCATCATCATTATTATTTCACCCTCATATACACCAAAATCTATTCATTGTTGTTCTTTAATATTATACTCATTTTCCTTTATCGATCTACTTTTCACAACGTCTTTTTTATTGTGACACATACATATTTGGGTCTCCCCTTGAACCAATTTTTGTGTTCAAATAAATAAATACAAGAGGTAGCAACCCTATTAGTGGTAATACAAAAGATCAAGTATCCAAGATATGATTAAGAAAAATATAAAAAGGCGAGATAAAAAGGTTATGAGGAATTTAGAAACTTGGGATCTAAAAGAAGACAGAATGAATGCATTTACGTTATTGCAAACGAATTTGAGCTATGTCTCTAACCATTGGCTACAATAATCACGTGGATTCCAACTAAGTAGTCTTTACCTACTTACATGACTGAGACCTAAGGTCGATGTTTCCATGGACTGATATATTGGCTCGGAGGGCCTCGAATTTCTTCCAACCCATTTCTACATCAGACAACAGCCAGTCAAGGTGGGAGATAGCTAGACACACATAACACACGGCCCAACTAAATCAGTTGAAGACTTACTATCTCATCAATCGATTTGACACTATTATCTAGTACCCTATCTTTAATCCCGGCATCGTTTAGTAAGTGATTCCAAGATACAAGAAAAATGTTTGGAATTTACTTAGGATTGAACATTAGTAAACTAAGGATATTCCCTATTCTTAATGACCGTTTCATATCGATAAAGTAGGAGGGAACAAGATATAGCACAGTAAACTAGTCCTTTAGTAAATAGATATCTCACCTACGCCACAACTGACGCAAGTTGGAAATAGCTAATCTGATCTTTTGAATCCGTGTCGACCAGACCACAACCTGTTTCTGGCTAGCACTAACTTTCGGCACAGTCATCGCCGATGTGCCACCTGGCGTCCTCCCTCTGCATCTCAAGCCTGGACTCAGGTTAATCACATCGCGATCAGCTACCTCTGGCGTGGTTGTATACAAGACTGCTGCTCCTTTTGGAGTAACTATCTGGACTCTGATCATGCCTTAGTCTACGCCAATCTTACCTTACTTTTCAGTGGCCAACGAAATGACCGCCACCAAAGGATTGATGTCAGCAAGTTGGTTGCAACTTCTGTTGCAATGAACTATCGAACCGAGCTAGCTTCTAGACTGGTTACCATTCCACCAAAAAGTAAAGATGAACATTGGCTGCAATTGCATGACGCCATGAAAACGGCGGGTACAGTCAGTTGTGGGTTTGCGAAACGTCCCGCTTATAAGCACTGGGTTTCTTCTGGTTCCTTACAACTCATCGAAGCCCGTCGGTCTACTTCGGGTGACTGTGAGTTTGACCACAGACGAAGGCTGTTACGTAATGCAATCAGACAAAGCTTGCGTAAGGACCGAGAAGCCTGGTGGTCGGAGCATGCTAATGAGCTGGAAGCAGCAGCTGCATCTGGTGAATATTGAAGAAGGGTGTACCTGAGAATTTTATTAACATCCTAAAGGCTGTATATACAAACACCTCAGGCAGAGTGAGGGCATACAGCCACCTCTCTCCGTTGTTTCATTCTAGCAGTGGGGTTAGACAGGGTTGCCCAATCTCACCATTCCTCTTCAAGTTTGCCATCGATGACATTCTGGAAACAGCTCTGATGGATGTGAGTAATGGCGGTGTGGATCTGTTGCCTGGAGAAAGACTTCTCGACCTTGAGTATGCGGATGATATTTTCTTACTGTGCGATAATAATAAATGAACATTAATTGGATTTTTCTGAATAAACATGGGGTACAACGAAAATACATAAAAATCTCAAGTTAGAAGTTAGTTTGCATTAACGTGGTTAAACAATATATACACTAACCTGAAATTACTACCTATTCCTCTTGACTGTTGCAATGTTTGGGCGAACATTTCATATTTCCGTACATCATTTTCAGTCACTGAGCGTCTTGCAAAGCGCATTGCTTCTTCAAAGTGACGACGAGTTATTTCTGGTACTGGATCAAAATCATCTTCCTAAAGGAAGCCAGCAAAAGAATAAGTATCAATAATGATATATACAGCAATTAATCTTGAGAAGCGTAAGAAATCGTATGATTTCGTATCGTATACTCTAACTAACAAATCTAGGTTGTTCATATGTCCTATTCATGACTAACATCTTGAAATGTCAAATTTAAAAGCGCTTTGGTTATGTGTAGTGAGAGATTATATCTAACTCTATGGCTACGGACGAACAGTGTATCTTATGTGTTTTCATCTCTATCACATTAATCAAAAATTCTTATTCTTGTTGGATTTTAGATAGTTTCCTCTATTATTTCTTTCCAATGCTTGTCTATCTACTCCTACGACAACCAATTAATGTGATGGAGTAAGCGGTTGCTAGCGATCCGTGCTAATAAATCAGCTAAAATCAGGATACCCTATTTGGCATTCGTACTTTTAACGAAGAATCCTTTGAAGACTGCTAATCCTGCTTAATCAAAGCAAATTTAATTGGTTTTCGATATTAGGGTTAAGAAACGTAGAACAAACTAAGCAACGATTTATAATCAACACATGTTCGGCAATATTTACCTGTTTATAATTTATGAAGATTGAGGATTAGAACATACTTCGACTTATTTTACTTCCTGTTTACCTCATTATTAATTGTGGATCCAAGGGACGGTTGCCGCCGTAAGATAAAAGGTATTGTACGGTTGTGAGAGGTTGTTAATCTTAGTACATGCATGGGAGAATCGCTGAAGCAAAAACACTTTAGGTTGATGGTAGGGATTACACAATGCATATGTGGATTGAGAATGTTAGACATATTGAAAATGATGTTAAGAAAATCATACACAGCACATACAAATCGGCTGTACACTTGCTATCGATTAAACGAACAGGGTCTATGATAGCTAGTTTTTCTATGCCCATCACTTTTTGATGACGAATGTTTACATAAATATGAACACAGAAGATGAATGACTGTGACGAATGTGACTAAGGATACAAATTGTCGTCAGAAAAGACGTCAAGTTAGCAAAGTAGCTCTACAGCACACTAAAACCTGAGAATTATTCTAGACTAATGGATGAACTTTAGGTTATACTCGTGAGCTCCAAACAAAAAAGCAAACCGTTTTTCCTACTTCCGTTTATAAATGAGCTTTAAGAATACACAGTTTGGAACCCGAAGAGCTATGTGATTCATTATAATCGGAATTTGAAAAAGCCAAGAAGAATATTGCCTCCAAATACCCTGGCACGGCCGAGAGTGGGGAGTCTGCTCTCCCTCATTAAATGCTCTCACATGACCACGTGCATACAACCATTGCCAGGGAAGTCCTACTCACCTCGTGGTTGGGGTGTCCGGCGCTTTAACCAGGTTGGTAGATACAGAGGACCCACCTAGGGGACTTGGAAAACCCTGATTCCAAACCAATGAGGCACAAAGGCTCAAGGATCCTAAGGAAACAAATGACGTATGAGCCCATTGTTGGTCACCGACTACCATGGGACTGCACCTCCGAATGTTTCTCCACTGCCTTGTGGACTAGACCTCTAAGTCAAAGGCTCGGAGAGTGGTCCCCTAAGAAAAACGTTTGCCTCGGTTTGAGCACCCAGACAGTATCCCATCCCTCACACAAATCGAATGATTTGTGTAGCGCATATCTATTTGATGCCTCCTTGTATCAGTATTTATGTGTTTAAGTAAATAAATAAAAATACTTTACTGTCAATGTGATTAAAACCTTGTCGTAATCATTACTAGAACACACAGAAAAGTTGGACATCTAAAAACTAACTTACCATAGCATTAGGCTTGTTTTTCTTTTCAGATTCAGCACGTATTTCCGCCTCGATAGACTCACGTATTGCTTGTTTACAGGCACGCTGACATATTTCTGTGAGGTCAGCACCCGAAAATCCCTGAGTAGCTTTTGCTAAGAAATTAATGTCAACATCCTAATATTAAAAAGACCAAGAGTCAGTAAATGCTTGTTAAGCAGTTAAAAAGATTACATTGTACAATCTTAAATCTGTTACCCAAATCCCTAAAATTTAGACAAGAAATTTGTCACAAGTGTAACACTAACATATAAACTGTTAAATGGGCTAAAAATGCGCGATCCATGGTAGTGTAAAGGAATAACTATAAAAATTATGATTCGAAAAGTACTGATTCAGTTAAGTTATAACTTTATAAAGACCAGTGATATTACCTAGCTAGATTGAAAAGGGTTTGAAACTGCGACATACAAAGCGAGTGGTCGCAATATAACTGCTCGTTTTTTTTCCGATGAGTAGATTTTGGTTCGAATTTATCACCCAATCGGTTTAAAACGTTTCTGATTTGTTTTGTTTACACTCGACAAAAGAGGAGGATCATAGAGGCATACAAAATGTCTGGTATTCTACAAGTAATTATATAAGCCTAATAACAGAAAAGCAGCGAATTTGCATACACTTAAAATTTATTACTGAGGAAACCAAACGCTTTATACCGGGAAAACTGTCTCACTGAACTGAAGCTGATTAAAATGATTGTTTTTAGCAAAGAACGTAAGTCCTTAAGTTCTACACATCAGCAATATAAGCACCAGTCTGAAGTCATATTTCAGACAATTTTGGCTAAAAAGACTACTACAGAACACTGCAACAGCATAAGGGTACAATAAGTTAGTGCGGCAATGATAAGCAAGATGGTTTTTCAGATTCAGGAGTACCATCGATAGCATAGTATTTCGTTGTATGCTATTACGCAGCCGAATTTTGCGCGACAATTTAGGTTACTCTTAAACAACCTGTGATGCAAGAAATAAGCTCAAATCGTCACATTTACTATCACCAAAGTAAGAAGAACTCAATCAGATTAAGAGCACGGTAACCCCCTAGAGGGAGAAGTTAGAATTTTTGACAAACAATTGAAGCTTCTTAGTACAAAGCACTTCACGTGATGGGAATCTAGATGTTATCAGAGTACCGAGTAACCATTATTTACAAAATTCAAGCGAAAAGGAGCACAGTACCGTGGGTTTGTAAATAAATAGAGTTCTGTGGTAAATGTAGAAAGAATTTGGTTTACGCATAATTGCAGTTAGGGAGAATTATCAGACAAATCACCTGGCAATAACTAATATATCTCTAATTTCGAGTCACAATGGGTAGTACAAATGATTTTTATTGTCAACCGGTAGGCTACAAAATAGCTGAATCGAAGGAAACTAAGTTTCTTCCACCTTCATATTTAGAACTAAAGGTGAACACTCACTACTTTGAAGGGGATCGTAATTAGTAGCACCAAGTGTAACTCAAGACAATCTCAACAAACTGATGCCGAAATCCGAAAGTTATATTTTATAATTCCGCAAACGTGGTGTGAATTTCCTAATATCATCGAAGGGCACTCCTATGCTTGGTGCAGTTAAGTTTACAGATCCTATACTTCCATCAAAAATGTGGGAGACCGATATTGAAATGATTCATTAATGAAGATCAGACAAAAAGTATAACTTACCTTTGCAATTGGGGATTTTCTTAAATTAGCTTTCAGAATATTAGCTCTTGAGGCTTCATCTGGCAGTGGAATGTAAATGAGTTGGTCGAGTCTTCCAGGACGCAAGATGGCCCCATCAATAATATCTGGGCGATTAGTGGCACCAATGATAAAAACGTTCTTTTTAGCAGACATACCATCCATTTCGGTTAGAAGTTGGTTAATAACACGATCAGCAGCACCTCCAGCATCACCAACACTACCTCCACGAGCCTAGGGAAGTGAACATTGCAATGGGGATCGCGCTTATTAAGAAGAAAATATCAGTAACATTTACTGGCATGAAGAGATATGTAATAAATAACTCACCATCTAATTATTCGTTCATCAATTAGCAGTGACTATTTCGCACCAAAAAATTAACACTCCCATATTTTTGCTCCACATCCCATTTAAAAAAATATTTTAGCGAGGTTAATCAGCAAATCTGACACTGAGTAGCTATAACGTATAAACTAAGGACTGATTAGGAAAGGCAGCTATTGGATGTTTTGTACAAAAAAATGAAAAATACCGACGAAACTTAATGTAGGGGATGGTCTACCAGCCAAATACATGGTATACAGGACTGAAGCACTAGTAAGCTGCTTATGCGTTACGTTAGAGTAGGATATCGACATGGATCAGTTCAATAAACAGCGTGATCCCTATGGACGACAAACATTTCCTTTTCTCAGTACTGTCTCTAATATCTACAGAAAGATCAGAGTTGGTGGTAAACTGTAGATTAGAACAGCACAATACTGAACAGGAATTTGAGCCTAAGAGCAACTGTCAAGACTTCAGAAACTAATATTTGAGAGAATAACCAAGAACATTCAAATGCAACAGGAGTGCACTTGTTCCTCAATATGGCACTTTAGCGATTACTTTCGTCTTTCACGTTAGTATTGACGTGAAGTTTCAGAGTCACAGTTTCGAAAGGCTGAACAATACTTACTTGCACGCCATTTGATTTATCGCATGTATACCAAAACGAACCAGAAACAACAAGCTTAGTCAAATCCAATGTTTCATTAAGTCAGACCTAGGCAACATAGGTCTTGCAAAATGTAAAATTTAAAGTTGGTTTGAAACGCCTGCTAATTGCATAACACTTCTCGAATACAAATAGACTTGCTATATAAGCATTACATGTCAATAAAAAACTCGACCAATTAAAGTGGTAAAATGCTACTTACTTTGGCAATCGAATCCAGTTCATCAAAGAAAAGCACACACGGTGCCGCTTGTCGAGCTTTATCAAAAATATCCCGAACGTTTGCTTCAGATTCACCAAACCACATAGTAAGGAGTTCGGGTCCTTTGATGCTGATAAAATTGGCTTTACATTCGTTCGCAATCGCCTTCGCCAACAACGTTTTACCACAACCTGGCGGACCATAAAACAGGACACCTTTGCTAGGAGTCATACCGAATTTCAGGAATTTATCAGGATGTTCAACGGGATACTGAACCAGTTCCTGGAGCTCTCGTTTCACATTTTCTAACCCACCAATATCATCCCAGGTGACATTTGGTACCTCAACTGTGGTCTCGCGAAGAGCGGACGGATTACTCTTTCCTAAAGCCCAACGAAAGTCATCCATCGTTACGGCCAACGAGTTCAATACTTCAGCGTCAATTGTGTCGTCTTCTAAGTCAATAAGATTCATCTTATTTCTTATGTGTTGGAGGGCAGCTTCTGAGCACAACGAAGCTAGATCAGCTCCTACGTGACCATGAGCTTCATTGGCTATTTGCTCAAGTTCAACATCTTCAGCCAGCCGGATGTTCCTGGTGTGTATCCGCAAAATATCCAGTCTCCCAATACTATCAGGAATACCTATCTCTATTTCGCGATCAAAACGACCAAAGCGTCTCAATGCGGGGTCAACACTATTAGGACGATTCGTAGCAGCCATGACAATTACATGGCTCCGTTGTTTTAGACCATCCATTAATGTTAATAATTGAGAAACGATGCGGCGTTCTACTTCACCATGGGTTTTTTCCCTCTTAGGGGCGATCGCATCAAGTTCATCAATAAAAATAATGGCTGGTGCATTTTTTTCTGCCTCTTCGAACGCTTTGCGTAGGTTAGATTCTGACTCGCCGGCCAATTTTGACATTATCTCCGGCCCATTGATTAAAAAGAAAAAGCTTCCACTTTCATTGGCTACTGCCCGAGCAACTAAGGTTTTTCCAGTACCAGGGGGTCCATAAAGGAGTATTCCGCGAGGAGGTTTCACACCTATAGCTTTGAACAGCTGAGGGTGACGAAGAGGTAACTCAACCATTTCTTTTATTTGAGCCAGCTGCTTACGACAACCTCCTATGTCGTCATAACCTATTTCATTCAGCTTTTCTTCCTCATCCTATAAGTGAATGATGAGTAATCAAACCATACGTACCTCTCGTTTAACTGGATCTCCTTCTGTGTGAATAGTAGTGTCGGGGGAAACAATGCAATAAGGTGACGGGTCTGTTTCAATTACTTTGAACTCAACAGCTCGCATCCCACCACGTACGACAAATATGTCGCCTTTATGTACAGGTCGGTAGGCAGCCAAAAAGTATGGTTTTAGAAAAGCTTCATATAAATTTCTAGAGATTCATTAACACACAAAAGGCATTACCCTGTAAGACCAAAAATAGTATCGTCAATCGGCAGCACGTGGATGCGTTTCCCATAGAGGATGTCAGGAAGACTCTTTAAACTGACGATATCTCCTGGTTTTACTCGTAGATTACTGCGAATACAACGATTTAAACGAATCTTGTCGTCTGGGCAACTCTCGTCCACAATGGCTACACACACCGTTTCTTTACGTTTCTTACCCTTGACCAAAACAGTGTCCCCACGAAACAGATTCATTGCATCCATCTTGGCCTGGAAGATGGTGATTACTGCAAAAGTACACTCACTTGAGATAAATAAACTACTGAGTTATCATCTTTTATCGGTTCGTCAACAATCAAACGATGGAATTTGACTCTTTCCCCCGATAAAGGATCATTACTTGGATTCCTGTTATTGGATTAAAGGGATGATTATCAGGTTTGTTCGAAAAGAATATACGAAATTTTTAAAAACAACTCTTAGACTTACGCATTTAGTGCACACATACTAAGCCTGACCAGAAACGAAAGTAACCACCGTCAACAATCTGTTTGCGACGCTCACGAAACTACGTTTAAACTAAGGTAGATTCAAAGTTCAGATTTCAATGAATTAGTAACAGGCTTTCTAAGACTGTTTTTCATTGTATTAAAATGAGAATCCTTTAGATCGCTGAACTGGTTAGTGGCGTTTATTGTTCAATTTGGTGATTGAGTGATTGGGATTATTAATTCAACCGATTTTTGAATAAGCAAAGATGGATAGTGGCTAGCAGTGGAATCCAGGACGCGCGTTTCGTCCTGTTTGGGACTCGTCAGATGGATGTACCTGCATCTCAGAGTTGATGTTCACTCTGGGACTCGAACTCAGTACCGTTCGCTTCAAACGCCATAGCGTTTGAATAGTTTAGAGTCCTAAAGAATACCTCACGTTCCTTGCTGAATGACTATCGAAAGATCTCAGCTGGCAGTGAGTTGCGAGACCTGACTGCTCGCAAATAGTAGTTACGCCTACAGTCAATATTGCAACGTTGTTTATGATTTCTGGTTAATGCTCCGAAGATTTTTGCTCAGACTGCGTTTGGATGTGTAATTTGTGGTGTAGCGGTAAATAAATCCACAAACTAAATAGCTCTGTAAGTTTTCGACATTGGATGCTGACCATATGTTTTAGTGGACTCATTTAGCTGAAGGCGCTCGGTCATGCGTCCGCACCAGATCACGTGTGGTAACGCTGTGCTCAACATCTACCGCAATCGCTAGTCAGACTAGATCAGAGAATTCCGATATATTGGTTATCGCCAAATACACTCTTCCGATCTCCTCGACTCTGTCTTTTGATCTCTCTCGGTGGGAACAAAGTATATTAGGTGTTACTGGTAGAAGTGTTGTCAAACACTGAATACCTGTATTATCCTCAGTGGGAGCCCGCGAGTTTCGCGGATGATGTAAAAAATCATCGCTGAGGCACCCGTACTCCGATATATAAAAATAAAGTGATTCAAGATGCCTTTCATAAGATCTGAATTTGAGTCGTCGGAATGATTTTGTGGCTCTCATTTGGATATGTTTTGGAATATTTCAATCCTTTTGGGATTAAAGGAGAAAGATATTTTTGCACGCTAGATGGGGCCAAATAAAACTTAAAGATTGGGTGGAAAGTATAAAACTGACCCCACCAAATGTCTCTGAGAAATCGAGGTACATCACATCCACCTTCCACTAAAGTCGTCAATAGTTGTTCGTCCCTTCATCATAATCAACAGATCAGTAGTACAGAAGTGGTCCTTACTGAAGCCTTGTTGTTGGAGTGAAGGAGGTTAATGAGTAGCAAGTATTTATGTAAACAATTGTTTACCAAACACTCCACTAGATTTGGTGACGCTGAAAGACGTGCTGTCGATAGTTTGTAGTTAAACTGTATCGGTCTCTTTTGAAAAATATTATAAGTCAGGTGACTATTGTCTGGGATAGGAGCTTGGCATTGCTAATGTGAGAACATTACACTTACGTTTTTTCAAGATTGAGACCGCTCTTCTCAGTAAGGCAGGGTAGACCATATCTGAGACACGAAAAGTGCTCTTATTTAGACGCTGCAGTTTCCGATGCATCAATCTAGCACTTAAGTTTACCTTTAAGACTCCTGTTGAATTGCAAGCGAATCCGTAGTCAATGCACGTTGTACGTGATGGATAAAACGTTGAAAAATACCACTGTATCAGGACCTTAAGGAATCTCCACGGTTTTTCATGGGGTTACCTATCAATTCGGTAACTCCGGTTTCGGCTTGACAAAATGAGGGGTGGAGTAAGTTCTCCCGGTTGGATGCCAATCTAAACACCAGCTTAATCTGGTACTGATGCTTATCTCATGTCTGCCTCCACTTCTCTACGTAATGTGTTCTTTAGCCTTACTCTTCTCCATTGGCCTTGGGGATTCCAAGAGACGGCTTGCACTGTGACGCAGTTGGGTACATTCCTCAGTGTATGTCCTATCCACTTCCAGCGCTTGGTCCTAACTTCTTCCTTCTCTGGGATATGGTTTGTTCTCTACCACAGTTGTTTGTTGCTGATAGTGTCTGGCCAACGGATCCGACAACTGTTAATAAACACTTGTACCTTCTGGATGACGGCTTTCTTCGTTCTCCAAGTTTCTACCCCATACAGTATAACTATCTTGACTTTTTTCTTGGAAATCCCGACCTTGGTGTTGGCTTGCAGATGGTTGTTTTGAGTTCCAGATGTCTTTCAATTGTAGATATGCTACTCTTGCTTTGCCGACCCGCGCCTTCACATCTGCATCAGATCCACCCTTTTCATCAATGATGCTGCCCAGATATGTAGAGGTTTTTACATCTTCCAACTCTTCTCCGTCAAATGTAACTGGATTGTTACATGTTGTGTTGTATCGGAGAATCTTGCTTTTCCCATTGCGTATGGTGAGACCTACTGCTTCTGAAGTTGCTACTACACTGGTCGTCTTCTCCTGAATTTGTTGTTGCGTGTGCAATAGAAGAGCTAGATCGTCTGAGAAGTCTAGGTCTCTAGCGTGGTGTCGATTCGGAATTAACTATGAACACCGCTACAGAGAAACACGTGCCAAATAAATCCATAAAATCCCCCGGGAAGCCAAATATCAGAAAGCAGTTAATGGACCAAGTCGAGATATATTTACTGGCGATCTCGTGGTATCGAAAGAATACCGAGATCGTGCCAGGATACAAGCTTGGTTACAGAGCGTAACCGAATTCGCGGGCGGTCACAATCAAAGTGTTAGAATAATGGATGCTCTTTAGCACAGTTAAACAAAAGCACATTATAACAAGCACTGGTACAGTTGGTTATAATAATAATTGTTTTTATTAAACCAGTCGTGTTCTCGTGATAAAAGTGAGTCACAACAGGAGCCCCTTGCTGGAAAAAGTTTACACTTTCGATAAATAGTGGTTTAAATAGTGGGACTGGTCGGCTGACGAGCGATTGTAGGACGGAAGAATTGGCGGAACAGGAAAGCGATCGTTGATCGTCGACCTGCCAACGAAATTTTTCTTCGGAGAATGGTACCAGGGGCGGTGTGCTGTACTTGTTGCTTGAGTTGGAGTGTCACATCAGAGTGGTTTGTATCCAGAATCTGAAGATTGCGTTCGTAAGGGATGCGGACCAGAAACGCTGCAGACGTAGTACGAAACCACGTTGAGCCGATGAACCAGAAGCGACCATAACGACAAAGTTCGAGACCAAGTGTATGTCAAACATTCGAAACGAAAATATCGACTAAGTGCGTTGACAAAGACGTTTGTGACCAGTCCAGCTTTCGCCAAAGTTGACTGAAGTCGACGGTACCAAACGGAGATGGTCGGAGGCGTGGGCTCAGGATACAGAAAAAAAATCAAAAGAGAGAAGAGTGTAGCATGCATGTAGTATAGGAATGGTCCTACACGCGATTTGAGGATCCCGCTAGTAGGTTTGATAGGTCTAGCATTGAATCTCAAGTTATCAGATAGGGCACTGTCGACGTGTGCTGGTTTGAGACGATCAATGATGACAAGTTCGACTTGGCCATGTCGATCAACCTTGAAGGCCTTTTCTTGACGAGCGATCACGTGAAAGGGCTTACGTAAGGTTGTTGCAAAGATTTGCGTACCGAATCTACTCGTATGAAAGCATGTGAACAGGTAGATAACTCTCGAGGGAGAGCGACCTGTCGATGTTGTATTCGAGTTGACACCGGAGACAGCGTTCGCATAAATGCAGACAGTCGATGGACGTAGTCTGATTTACCGAAATCATGTCTGCTCAGTGGTGTGAAGAATTCCCCAGGCAGACGCAATGTAGTGTTGTGTACCAGTTCAGCAGCGGAACATTGGATATCTGTCTTTAAGCTCGTTCTGATTCCCAGAAGAACGAGCGGTAAGATTTCGTGCCGGTTGTCGTTTTCGTGTGCTCGTAGAGCACTTTTAAGTTGGCACTAAAACCGATCACTTGACCATTTGATGCTGGGTGGTAGACGGATATGCTTATGCGTATGCATTCCAATTCAAGCAGCCGGGTCAGCGAGGAGAATAGTGCGGACTTAAATTGCTGTCCTCGGTCAGTCGTTACCGTCGAGAGACAACCATGTAGAGCTATCCATCGTTCTCAAAGCGGTGAGCAACTCTCTCCGCCCGTGATAGACGTGATGAATATAGCTTCGGGCCATCTTTTAAAACGGTCGATACACGTGAGTATGTGATCATACCCATTCGTTGGTGGCAGTGGTCCTACAATGTCTAAGTAAACATGATCGAAGCGAGCATCAGGCGTAGCGAATGTACCAAGGGAAGCGGCTATGTGCCTGTTATGACCTTGAATCTCTTTTACCCCGTTGATACTTGTTATGACTTCACCTTGATCTGTCTAGTCTAAATTATGACCTTGACGCGATAGGGTGAGCGGCTTAACCTTGAATCTAGCACGCGTGAGTTCGAGATAGGGCAGAGAGATAACTATTCTAGAACCTGATTGGTTGGCAAGCACGCAAGTGAGAGAAGACAAGACAGTTGGAACACTGAATTCTCTGAATTATCTGAATTCGTATTAGTACAAAAATGTACATGAATAAATAAGTGAATATCTTGACCACGACGTACGATAATTTGGAAAAATACAGTTATGCCTGAAACTGGGAATTAGCGTAGAAAATACGGTGCAAAATGTTATGTTTAAATTACAATATTTTCGGAACAAAAAAAGATATGGTAGTGAATGATACATAGAACGAAAGCTCGTGTTATGTAGAATAAGATAGGGACAAAAATAAATATAAGTGTTTTACAGGGTTTAAATGAAATGAATTAACGTCCCAAGAAAATGGCTTTCGTAGTTGTCTGGGCTTCTTAATTCCTCGTTCACAACAGTGCCCGTGCACATTTGATCGTTGACATTGTAAGCATTGCTTTGCCCACATACGAACATCTGTATTAATGGACGGCCAGACATATCGTGCAGCGATGAGACGTAATGTAGCTG